AGAGGGGGTGAAGGGAGGGCTAGGAATGGGGAAAAAATAAGAACCAAGATGCATTATGTAAAGGTACAATTCCCAATGAGAAATGTAATTGTGTGGTATACCTACAATGTACCAATAAAAGAATTTAACAAAAATAAATAAATAAATAAATAATAAAAAATAAAATCAGGTACATAAAGTGGGGAGGCCTCTAGCCCCCCATCTCCCATATTCTGGGGATGTCAGACCTCCCAGGCAACTGGTACACAGGTATTCCTGCACACCACGCTTCGTTTCAGGCACGTAGCACTGGCAGGAGGAACACACCAAGTCCTAGCTATCTTTGTGCTGACTTTACTGGATGGCTGGTGGCTGTGAGCAGAGAGAGGGCTGGGATATCGTGAGCACCCAGCGCTTGGCAAGGGGCCAAAACACTTGTTTAGGGCGTGGGATCTTCAATAGAGAAGGATCCAGTCACTCTGGGCCAACATCAGCATTTTGCCCTCGCTTTGCTCTTTGACCCCAGTCGGCCTGCTCATGAGAGGCAAAAGCATTTTAAGGATTTTTATTTGTTTAGGGGTTTTTTTTGCACATAGGAATCTTTTGGTGAAAGTCAGCATAGGGGGTGCACTGACTCTAACGATCCTTTAGCCTTTAAAAGTCTTAATTCTGTGGGGTTATTCAACATTGGAATTGAACTGAATGGTACAGGTCTTCTCCCCCCAAAGTGTGCTCCTTTGATGACTTCTCCTTTAATGTCAAAAGCTTTCCTTATTTTTCTTCCGCTTGTAAACTCTGGCACTGTTTACCTCTTTACTGTCTTTCATAATTTTGCTTAGCTATCTCTTGGCTATTTTCTGAAATCTTATCTGCCACATTTCTTTACCTACTTCCTGTGTATTTTATACCTTTAAAAAAACAAGAATATTCTTGAACCCCAGAATCTGGCACTATATGGCAAATATTTGATATGCTTCTGCGACTTGCATTAAGGAGCATCTATTTCTTGCTTTAGCATGTGTTAGTAAATTTGTTAGGAATACGTGTGGATTTCTAGCTGGTAGTGTTAAAGAAAAACTTGTAAATTGTTTATAACTGCTTTAATGGAGATAAAATGAATGACAACAGCCTTTTGGAATTATTGGCTTGTGAAGCTTGTATGTTCCACCATGCAGTGGGCACTGGGACCCTCAAGATGTGCCTGGAGAGGCTCGCAGTCAGTGGTGAGGGCTGATCAGGCTTAAGAATGGCACACTTAGGTTTCCAGTCCAATGCTATCAGGTAAGTTAGGGTCACAAAAGTAAGGATCTGAAGCTGTATACTTTTTTAACCTTTCTTTGTAAGTTCACTGTACCAGGCATTTGTTACAGTAATGGAAAGCTACCACAGGTGCTGATCCTAAAAAGAGCACAGAAAGGACACTACAGATGTCAGCACAGATATCTTCGAAGGGGAAAGCAGCAGATTCTGATCAGGAAAGATGGATCCAACCAGGGGATTTGGGGATGGTAGCAATGATATAGCTTTTGAGCCCAGGGGGTGGTGATTACATAGATGTTCATTTAAACACAACTTGTTTGTACGGACATTCGTGATTTATGTCATTGTGTGTGTGAAGTCACATTTTAAATAAACCTCTGACCAGAAAACATTTCTACCTGCTGTAACTTCTTAATGATTAGGTCACTGTGTGGATTAACCAACCTGGTTCATCAAAGCAGAACCATGTTAAATGTCACTCTGTATTGTTAGAGTCATTCTATATGCACAAGAGCCTTCTGTACGAGAAGAATGGTTGGAAAAGGGGATGGAGAAGGGTTTTCAATCTGATCTAGCAATAAATATTTTGGCCTAGAGGGGCATGGGCATGTTTCTTTGCACAATTTAGTTAGGAAGATTCGAATTTAACTTTATGGTGTTGATATAAAAAGAATCAGGGGAAAATACTATTATCATTTAATAAAATTTTGATATTGCATGGATTCCAAGCATTCTTGCATTAACAGTGTTAAAATATACAGTTCTTGTCATTTCGGTGAAAGGAAAAGAAGAAAGCTGACAGACTACAAGGAAGTCTCCACAGCTTGTGGACGGGGAGAGGTGTGGCTGCAGTGAGGTGGACAGCAGGGTCAGTCTCGCTGGGCAAACGATTTCTGCCCAGTTTTCTTCTTCCTCACACAAGGTCTTAGTCCGTTTTGAATTGCTTTCATAAAATACCTGAGGCCAGATGTTTTATAAAGAAAAGAGGTATGTTTAGCTCACTGTCTTGGAGGCTGAAAGTCCAAGACTGGGCAGGCCTGACGATTCCACCCCTCTGCAGGCTCCAGGCTGAGTGGTATCACTGCAGTGGGAGTGAATGTGGGAGGGACAGGTCATGTGATGGGAGAGGAAGACAGAGCAAAGCAGGGGTGGGAGAACTAACAGGGGCCCTGAGAGAACCACATCAATGGCTTGCTAGGGTCGATCCCCCAGTGAGGAATGACCATACTCTGCGCGAGCTCTTAAAGTTTCCTCCACCCGTCAGCACCATCACACGGAGGCCCACACTTCCAGCACAAGAAAGTTTTGAGGATACACTCAAACCATATGTAAGCCAAGCAAGGAGACGTGACTTTCAAATAAAGTGAGAGAGATAAACAAAAACGGTACAGCCTTACCATCAATATCCTCAGTATGAAAGATGCTGCCAATAACGTGCCAAGGAACGTTTCCGAGAGATTTGGAAATTTTACCTTATTACTTAGTTCTGAGTCCAGCCAGCACCTAAATGATGCATGCACTCACTTCCCGTAGTGTATTTTAAGTAGCATATTTGTCCTGTGAAGTTTTGGCAATATCTTTCCTCATTCTTTGAATCACTTGACATTATTAATTATTGAATTAGGATTATAAATCGCTTCTTCAAGCTGTAGCTTTTTTGTTTATTTATTTTGTAAGTTGGAAAGCTAAACAAAATGAAGTCTGAGAGTTTTCAGAGCAGTGTTTAGCCACTGACTGGAAGCACCTGAGATGGAAAGGCCATTTTTATGAGTGGCAATGCCCCAATGTTGGGCTTATAGCATTAGGAGTTGTAATGAAGGAAAAGCAACATACTTCATGTTACAGTCAAAACTAGCCTATCATCTTAGAATTAATTGGACACAGGTCCAAAAAGAAAATGTCATGCATTAAAAAAATCAAACGGCACTGAGCTTGTAATGTATATTTTATTTTGCACAAGCTTGCATATATACTGCACATACATTCAGTTTAAGAGAAGATGGAAGGCACACAAGGCAATTGGACTACTGTATCCTTTAAGTGGTACAAAGCAAAAGGTAAAAGTTTGGAGAGTATACAAAAGCTTAAAACACACGAAGGAAAACCCCCTCCCACGCTCCCCACAACCATGTGGTTTTTTTCCTGTTTTAAAATTTAGTAGCTGCCAAACTAAATTTTTAAAACTTTTACTTTAAAATCAATTGTCTACTGCACCTTTTTATTTTCTTTTTAATATGGACAGGGAGTCTCACTGTTTTTTTTTATCATATCAATTAATATTACAGTACATCCTTGGTAATACAAAATTGTACACCTTCATCAAATAAATTAGGATAAATTAAACCAATAAATTATGCAAAGTCTTCAGAACAATAGACAATAACAAAAATCCACAATTGAAATTGCCTCTAGCTAAAAAAAAATCAAAAATTGACTTTATCAGTTCAGTTATTGTACTATATTCAAATCAAAGGGTCTTTATTACAAAAGAAAGAGCTTCATAATGCTATTTACAACATATTGCTAAATAATATAAAGGCAGTGTTTTGTCACGGTTTATACTATATACATATGAGAAACGGCTGGGACAATATCAGGGGAAGCCATAACCTTGATTCTTCTAGGTAGCTCCGAGACCAACCCCAAATACATTTTTCTAGTCCTAAATTTGAAGTGGTAGTGTACAACCTTAAAATGCTTTATCCATGTGGAGGAATCGTGTATTTAAAAAATACAGAATGAATACATTTTCACAAAGGAAGGCCAGCCTGTTTGCCTTTTCTGTGCATGTTTGTGCATTTGAGGAGGGTCTGATTTGAGAGAGGACTCAGTTGAAAAGACTCAAAGTCCAGCCGATTCCACATTCTGTTATATCCTTAGAAGAGTAATTACAAGAAGATGCAAAGATTAAATACCAGTTTTGATCCCAGCTCTGTATATGAGCATTTTAGGTTTAGTTTTTATAGATGGTTCACAACCAGCAGATCTACAGAAAACAAAACTGCATTTCTTTCAACAGAACATTTAAGTGCAATACGGCAAGTTTCTCCTATCAACCAGTTACTTGTTTTTAAGGGGAGCTTTTTGAAAACAATGTTTCTTGGAATTTGCAAACACAGAGTTTGTACCAAAAGGAAACATTTGTACTATTCACACCAATGAATACTGTATAATATACATGGCAAAGAGATTTTGTGCTCTTCTCAGATACACACTGCTTCTTTCAGGGGAGTCTAACCACCTGTTCTGGGATGAATTTATGATTGCTTTGAGAGGCCATCGTATTCTAAGGCTTCCCCAAAATCTTTAGCTTTATGACTCAATATCAACCTGTATGTGTGCGGGAATGGGGGTTACTTCCTAAATGTCTTCATGTACAGAGAAAAGAAATTTCATACATTTACAGAAACTGCGTTACCCTTGCCCCTGACATCTGATAAAAGAGACTGTTATCTTTTAAAAGTAGAGAGCAGGATTTTCAAGAATGCCTTCAACTGTCTATACAGTCACTGTAGTGTTCCTAATAAACCCAACAGATGTTGTCAGAATGTAGTTATTTATTAAAATCTCATGTCTTACGTAACAACAGGCATGAGGTTAAATATTTACATTGCTTTATAAAAGTTCCCCTCTTGCTTTAGTGTTTCCATTTTGCTTTTTTTTTTTGTAATTTTAAATTTTTTAAATGATATTCACCCACATTCCCAGTACAGTAACAAAGATTCTGCAAACATAAAACACTTTAATTAAATAATACTCGGAGGCACAAAGCAAACTTTAGGAATCTGTGGGTGAACAGTTACTTAAATAATTACTACATTCTAACATCTTCCACGTGTTTTACCATTTAATGTGAAACGTTCTTATTAAACAGCCAGAGAGACAATAAGAATTAAGTGTTTTGTTGTTGCAAATAAAACATTCTTTTCACAAAACATAACAAATGTCTAAAATAGGTTCTTAAATCTAGATAGGAAAAGGTAAGTGTTCCACTTCACACGCATATATATAAGTATATTTTTACATGTGTGTATATGTGCGTATGTGTTTTTACCTTCACACATCTGCACACACATAGCACATGGTATGAAATATTGCTTCTATACTACTTTTCATTAGGCTAAGAAAACACATGATTTGCACCACAGTTACAAAAAATTGGCTTCTACAAGAATTTTCAAAACTCGGATGCTGCTCAAACAATTGAGGAAAAAATAATTTGCGGTATCAAACTGTTCTAAAAATTCTCTTCTTCAAAAACGTATTCTCCCGCTTTGTTTTAAAAAGACACAAAATATGCATAGCTATCGTTATGTCAAACAGCCAGAAAAAAAATCTAGTGTTTATTGCAGCTGTAGTAATTGGAAATAAAGTCAAAAAGATGAAATCGAAAGCCACAGAAGGCACAAGAACAATTGTACTTGTGGGAGAAAACTGGTATTTTGAAGGATTTTTAAAAATCCCCCCGCTGGTGCATTTTAGATCTAGGCACAGACTATAACCTCAAGTGTACACACAAAAATAATTTAGAGTTAACAGAAAATAAGTGGTAATGTGGAATTTCAACATGGACTTTAGACTTTTTTTTCTCCTATGTAAACTGCCTCTCGTCCTTCACCCTCCCACCCTGGAAAACTAACTTTCTCCTGTGGACCCAGTTTTCACTTGGTGAGAGTTGATCTGAACTTTGGAAGATGGTGATTTTAAAAAACCTGTTAAACAGGAGTTTTTGAGAGACAGGCTTTTGTCGTTTTTCAGCGCACTGGGAGGCACAAGATTCTATGATTGTGGAAGGGGGGAGATCACCTAAGAGCAAGGTGATGGCTCTATTTGCACGACAGAGGTGCATTTATCCTCACTCTGAACTTGCAGGGGATAGCCTCAGTAGCTAAGTGCATCAGTGTTTGGCTCCAAACACATCCTTTGCTTAATTTGTCTATTGAAATCACAAAGGGAGGGGAAAATAATACTCAAAATCCAAATAAACCTGAATCACGATTTCACTTGCCACAGATTAAGGAGATACCTCGCAATCTGTCTACCGAGCTGAATCCACTACAGCTTCTTTGCCTTTTGTCTTGCAAAGGATAACACAATATTGATATGAATTACATGGAATTACAGCAACGGATCTGGTTGTATAGTGACATAACAGTGGACATCACATGAGTCCAAATGAGCAAGTCAAGAGTGTGACTGGAAGTTGAGATTATTTTGTACTGACTGAATATATATATATATATATATATATATATATGTATGTATTCATTTCACTCTAATGTACTGATTATCAGAAACTTTTTCTTAAGCAAGCCAGAAAAATAACACATTGGATGGAATGATTCTGTGGGCATGTGTGAGAGGGTACAACTGGGGAATGTGTGTGGCCTGGGATGTGGGTAGAAGGGTTGGTGTCCTAGCCCCAGCCACTGCAGGAAATGCCCATACTTCCAGGGCCTGTTAGTGTCCTGGGTGATACAGGGCATCAGAGGACCGCACCATTTAATTTAAAGTCAGCAGGTTTTAAGGCTTTGTGCTGACAATAATTGTGTTCCCACATTCCCATCCATCAGCAGAATTTAAAAATGACGTTAAATGACAACGATCAGGTCGCCTCGTCAGTCACATGGCTCTACCTGCATTCTCCAAAGTCAAATGCATTTTTTAAATGAAAATTAAGGGAAAATGACATTTATATCTTGTATGTTTTAAATACCAGATTTGTTACTGTGTCATTTTAAGAGCTGTAGATCAAAGGGGAGGGAGGGGCCTGGAAAACACTATTAGAATGAACATCGGATTCTTAATGCTTCTGAACACAAAAACCCATCTAAGAAAACAAGTGTGAATGCTGCTCAATTTTTAAAATGTATGTATGGGACACTGTACATCATTGAAAAACTGGAAAAAAGAAAAGAAAAAAAGAAGAGACCCACTGAAGAAAGCATGAAATAGCAGCTAGCTTTCTTAGTTGTGCTGAAATTGTATCTTTTGGGTTAACCCCAGACTTTCCTATACTTCTCACATTTTGGTCAATATTAGCTTCTGAATTAGAAGAGATAGTATGAATGGCTTGAAGATGTTATGCCTACAGTGAAGAAACACTTAGACTGTCACCACTTCGAATACCCATCAGTGCAGTATGGAATCACACACAGAAACAGATCAGCTAAAAGGTGCCAGCAAACTTCCAGTGTAGGCAAGGACTGCATGGTCAGTTGGGATTCCTTTATTCCTTACTGTGGGAAGGTAATCAGAAAGTGGTGTTTTAGGAAAAAAAATTAACTGAACAAAAATAATAATTCTTTTAAGGATATAAACAAAATGGAGCAGAGTAAATCTGAAGCTTATGTGCCTTTTTAATATTTGAAGCAAAATAAATAGAAAATGATAACAAGGTATAGCGTTTTTCTCTATGAAGACTGATCTAAAAGCTCATTTAGTATGAAGAACCACGAATTATGAATTCTATAGAGGAGGCTAGAAGAGCAGGGATGGGTTTCAATCTCATCTTGAAAGAGTCAGTGTTGTCCAAAATTGCTTTGCCTGCATTAGAAACTGGTACTGCTAGTTCGGGGATGTTTGCCATTTCTCTTCAGAAGGGCCTGAGAGCAATTATTTTTCTGTTTTAATTTGGCCTTTGGGGGTATTTTCAAGAAGCAAGCTGCTCATCTGTCATTGGTGCTATTTAATTAAGCAAGTAAGAAAAAGCTACTTGTTGAGTTCAAAGCAAACAAAATATTTGAATGTATGAAGTGGTTACTTTGTATTTTTAGACCTTCTTAACAGTAAGAAGAGACAGGTCACTGTAGAGTTCTGCAGTGTCATGCTGTGACCATGCCACCCGCCATTTGCAATATGCCACCAATCAAGCAGAAGCGTCTTTGCTAAATGCCCTTGCTTGCGAATGTAGACTTTACACACTCCAGCATTGTTTTTCCCTGAAAATTAACCCTACGCTAAGTCTCCAAATGTTAAGGGCCTTGGGCAAAAGTAAACTAACAGAGGAAGGAAAATAACCATCCCCTTGTAATGGAAAACAAAAGGAAATGCGAGAAAGATGATGAGGTGGAATTACCAGCTGATTTCATAACATATCCATGCCTCCCATACACACACAAATGAAATCAAAATCTAGACACATACAGGAAGTCAGACATCCAAAGGGGACTGCTACTATTCATACATTCAAAAAGAGTTGTTGAAATTTCTACTCATGAAGCAGCTCTTGTAGGCAGTTTGGGGATTTGAAAATCTCAGGGACTTCACTATCCAGCTTGCAGATAACCTTGTATATGGCCTTCTTCCAGGAAGGGTCAACGTCTTTGCCTGCGATAATGGCATTGAAAAACTCCCGTAATGTGATCTGAGCAACTTCCAGGAATCTCTCTGGAACCTGCTGATACAAGAAGACAATGGTATTAATAAAGTTTTCAGTTTCAAGTCCACAGTTTTTCCACTGAAACTGAGCTAAGTTCTTTCTTTCAGAGAGGGGCTTACATGGCACCTGTATTTCTTTCTAAAAATGGCCAGCCTCTATTCTCTTATGTAAAGTCATTATATATAGTGGCTTTGTTGGGTTGAGAAAGAGGCTTGTGCAAGGGACACAAGCAGGCCTATTGAAAAGGCAGGTTTGGATTAGGAATATTAAGGAAGAGAAAGGGGTTGGGATTCTTCACTTCTTTAAATGAGCCCATTCAAGAAGGAAGTCTCCAACTAATTTTTTCAGAATTTCATTCATCTTTTCTTTTGATTTCCATTATGAAAAAAATGTGTTCTCCAAACTTAATAATAAATAGTTGGACTTCTACATAAACTGAGCCTATATTTTCAATGAAGAAATTCCTCTAAAATCTCAATGGCCCATTTGCATCAGAGAACTGTTGACTTAATATTCAGTTGTAGCTTAATCTGTCCTATAAAGTACTCTACACCTATAAAGGAGTAAGATGACATGAATGTGAAGCCATAACAAATAAAATGTAAACTGAATCCTAAAATATTGCACCAGAACTTCTTTACCTTGAGATTAGAATGGACCCATAAGAGATTGATGTACGCAGCTGATGATAATTATAAAACAAATATTTATTAAGTGCTTATTATGTGTCAGGCACTGTGTGGCATACTAAATGTGAATACCACTCCATTCTCTCAACAAGCTTTTATTATCCCACTTATACAGTGGGTAAACTGAGGCCCCAAAAGATCAAGGAAATTGCACAAGATCATTGTGTTCCAAAATAAACATTCCCCAAATACTCTTTTTTAGAATTCCTATTTGTTAAGCCATTTCTTTCACAGCAGTTAACCTATTGAGTATATATTGAGTATATGTATGTGTGCCTGTGTTCTCTTAATTGTTGATTTAACAGCATGATCTCTTGACTGGCAAAAAGAGTAGCGATTAGTGTTATTTATTTAATAGTCTTTTGTAAGTTATGCATAGTAAAGTACGGGACATCATTCCCCACACCCATATAATGGATTCCCAGAAAATATTTCCATGAACTCTTAATTTTCTAAGTACACGTTGATACTCAGTAGCTTTCTTTTAGTGGGGTACTTGTGCCTTGGTAATGTTTTAATTTTACATTAAGTGCAGACATATGAGGACATTAATATACCACGGTTACACGTGTAAACTCATCTATCTACATATATATAACAGAGGAAAGATTCTCTTTACAGTTCAGACATTCCCCTCATCAAAGTAAAAAGGAGATACTGTTGCACTGGATATGTTCGAATCCTTTCTGTCCACCTTTTCTCAGCTGGTGCAATGGACCTTTATTACAAGGATAGCAGCTGGTAAAGAAAGCTGAATAATCACTGGACGTTCCTGGCTTTCACATTTAAAACTTGACAAACAAGTCCACTGCTCCCAATAGCAAATCACTTGTCCCTTATAGAAAAACCTAGTAACTTCCTAGTAAAAAGGGGCTTCATTTGAAGTCTAATGTTGAGCAGCTTTTCCCAAAGACATTTATCTTGCCCTGCTATCAGGATACAGCTCCTGATGCTGCTGGAAGGTCATTGTTGCCCCCATGCATGTGCGAAAATGACCGTTCCCTGCTAAGGACTCATACGGATCCTCCACCGACCACTGGTGCTTTCCCCCCGATCTCTGGTGTACGCAGGGGAGAGCTGAGTCCCATACTCGCCTTATCCCAATAGCACTCCCTGAGCGATCTTTCTCAGGACTCCCCACCTCCCCTCAAAGATAATCATCCAGATCCCATCCAATGGGCATTATGGACAGGGAATCTGGCTAGACAAGAGCAAGGCCGGGCTGCTACCCACTCTAACTGCTTGGTTTGGGAGCTGTTAGCCAAATGCTACAGAAATATAATTGCTGGCATTTATTAAAATAAACATTTCAAGAAGTGTGGTCTCATTGGCTGCTGGTAACAGCCTCGATGAAAATCTATGTTCCTTGAACACTGAGGGAGGCAGGGTGGCTGAGCACTTGCAGGGGCCAACTGTGTGGGGGTGTGCTCCAGAGGAAGCCCCGCCCACTCCGAGGACCCACGGGAGGGTAGGGAGCCAGGGGCCAGGGGAGAGCACACCTGTAAGGCCTGCCAGACACATCCAGAGCACAGGCAGCGCGGGGGAAGGGCAAGTGTGGTTAGGGTTGGCCTGCGAATGTCAGGGCCTGCCTTGTTCTTACCGTTCACTATTCTTTTTAATGGTTTCAGTGGGTTTTACCTCATTTTAACATTTATTTCTTGTGGTTGTCATCATGGGCTATGTGGAATACCATTTGTATTTGTGTCTTGGTGTTATTTAACTTTTCACCAACTTATATCTAGTTCCAGTTCCCTTATCATTGGTGTCTTTAGATACGGAGCCGTGGCTTTTACTCGGTGTGGCGCTCAGCACAGTAGCTTTGCCAGAGTCATTTGATAAGTGCCATACTTCATAATGACATCTCACCTTCTGCTCTGTGTCCCACTGCTCTAAAGTCTCACTTACATTCCTCCTCTGCGCTTTTTGAAAAGGAAACTTAAAATAATGATAGAATCGAAAGAGTTGCAGATCTCAGAAAGCATCAGTTTCTAGACAAAGAAACATTCTCTGAGATGAAGAGATTATGAAATAAAGGGTCTTGTCATTAAACCATGGTAGTGTCCTTGAAACACTTTTTAAAGCAATTTTGACTTATGAGAGGCATGAAGCCCTCACATAAGCTGTGGGTCTGTAATTTTTTAAAAAGTACCAAATGAGTGAACACCTTCAAAATCAGTGGAAATGGTATCAGATGCCCCAGAAGAAACCTGGATGGTTGGTTTTATTGGGGAAGGAAAGAATTTTCTGTGTTCAATGAAAAGGTTTGCTCAGTGAATGCTTGATACACAGGCAACTGGCTGAGCCGGTGAAAGAACATTATAATGAGCTCCTGTAAGTCTAAGGTGGGAGCAACTCATATTTTCTGGTGTCTCTCGTGTTGGGCAGCAACTGAACTTCTGAGAGGCTGCCAATAACGCCATCCACAGGTAGAAATATCACCCATAGACACAGGGACCCTGAGCTCTCTGCCTGAAATCTTCCCCCAAGTCCATTTTGCGGGAAGGGAGGTCCTTCCAACGTCTTGCAGGGGGTGTCTTAGAATTTGGGGTTCTGGGCGGGCATGATATTGCCCATTTTTCTGCACCCCCCCACCTAATGGCTTTCCAATCACTAATAAACACCTGCAGAAAATCCCTTAGTGACCAGTAATCCCTTATCTTGGTTTCTTTTAATAGAACCCAACAATCTGCAGAATGAACCCTCAGCCTCCATCTCCTCAGCATCAGGTGGCAGCAGTCAATCAAAGCCACTGGAATGCAAGACAATGCAGGCTGCAGAGGGTGGGGGAGGGGACGCCGTGCCTTTGGACAGGCCACAGGGGACAAACAAAAGGCTTCCAAAGTCTCTGGCTGGAACTCCGGAGGCTATTGTGGGAGCCGCTCTGCCGCGTGTTCTTCAGGAGAGGAGAGTGGAAAGTTTGCCACGATAAAAAGGCATCCCAATATAGGAAACTCACCCCAGATGGTCCCGCCTTGGTATGCGGAGGAGAACAGGACAGTAGTGGGGTACTTGAACACACTCATCAATTTGAAGGGCGCTGGCTATCAGTGCCTGCCCATTCCATCACAGTCCTTTGTACTTGAGACTCCTCAGAGAAAACCAGGGGCTCTGGGGCTCGGGAGAAATGGAAAACTGGGAGTGGTCTCAAGAGTGGAGCACACACACACTCACGCCGTGGGTTGGGTGTGTGTCCATTTCACTGCTCTTTTTAAAAAATCAGAATGAATGGCAAAGACACTTCCCCCTGTCTTTCTCCTCCTCCTCCTCCTCCTCCTCCTCCTCCCAGTTGCTTTACCTTCAAGGATGATTTGTTTTATTAAACTGACTGTCCCCAGCCTCTGCAGTACATAATAAAAGCCTGACATAGCAGCCTGCCTGCCTTCTGCGTCCTGCAGATAGTCATCATAAGTGTCAGGACATACCAAGGTTAGCGGTCACTGGAAGTGCGCTCGCTGGCCCAGACCTTGCCAAACGCTCTTGGCAGCTGAATGAATGTCACAGAGAATAGGAGGGGAATTAGAAAGGTGAAAAAGAAGACAGCCTCTCCTATTTTCTGGAGACAGAGGAGCTGATTTTTCACACCTCTGAAACATCCGCAAGCTCATCCATGCATCGGCCTCTCGCAGGGGACTGCCGCCTCGCCCCTTGCCCAGATCCCCTCGGAGATCCCTCCATCCTCGACCTCCTTAATCGCTGCTCCACTGGAGTCATTTCACCAGCAAAATCATCTTCACTGAAATGGTCAGAAAACAAGCCAGGCCCCCTTCCTCTCCCCAGCCCCGCCTGAGAAACCGAAGGTTCAGATGGCTCATTGAGCCTATCAATAGGTTTAACTGCACAGGGAGACCATCTTCGCAGGTCAACTTTTAGGCTACCGTGTTTGCAAACTTCCGCGGACAGAAAGCAAAAAGAAAGGTGCACCTGCACAGGGAGGAGCGGCTCAGGGGTGAGAAAGTAAAATCCTGCTTGGCGTTTTGGTGAACTAGTTTGTGCGTGGGCTGTCTTTCTCCTTCCTCCTCCATTTTTTTAAGACTATAAAAGGGCAATAAAATGCTGACTGTAAGAAGGCAATGTCAAGGAGAAAAGGGTACTGGTATTTTGGATACTCTTCACTGCTCGCCTTGGAGAGAGAGTTATTCTTGTCACAAACCCTTTTGTCTGCATCTGCTGACTGCTTGCCTGTAGCCAGCAGCATACTTTAACTGTTTTGTCACCTCCTAACATCACATGCATCAGCTGTTGGGCTTTTGTTACGGGTATTGTAGAACTAATCCGCTGTGGCTGTTCTACTGTGCAGTAAATAAAACAGAAACGGGCTTCTCAGACTAT